GAAGCCTGCCGGCTCGGCCAGGGGTCTGTCGACCGCCTTCAGGACAGCGCAGGGCGCGCACCGCTGCTCGCGCTCCTGCCTCGGTCGGGGGTGTTTTCTGCTCTGTCGGCCCGTCTCCTGGCCGATCTCCTGCTTTGTCGGCTCTGGTTGAACCGGCCGCTGCTTCAGCCCAGGCACCTGGTGCCACGCTGGCCTTCTGATCTGGCGAGTCCGTCGCCGCAATCTCGGCCACGCGCAGGGGTGGGTAGGGGGAGGGGGGAATAGGGAACCGAAAAATGACATATACATAACAATTCGGAGGTCCGCGCGGATTTCTTGGATCCTCGCAGGGGGAGGTAGGGGGAGAGGGGGAAGGCTTCTTAAAAACACCCCTGCTTCTTGGAAGGCGCGGGCCTTGTCTGTAGATGCACGGCCCGCGCCTTCCAAGAAGCAGCCCCCTCCTGAGAAGCCTGCCCCCCGTCCCCCGAGACCCCCTCCTGCACGCCGCCAGATGGTGGCCTGCTGATCTGGCGAGCCCGTCGCCGCAACCGCGCCAGTGGACGCCCATCCTGCGGCGTCGCTTCCACGTGGGCCTTTCCCTGTCGGTCGCGCCCGCCTCGCCCGTCCGCTGGCGCTGCCCGCGCAAGAGCGCGAAGAGCGAGCGCGCCCCGCGGGGCGTCGCGAGAGCACGAAGAGCGCCGCGGGGCGCCCCGACTACCTCGCGCTCGCGTGTCTGGCGTGTGCTCGCCCCGACCTGGACTGTACGCCCGCGCCTGCTGACCACGAAGGGAGGGCGCGCGCGCGTTCGAGCCAACGCGCTGCGGTGACCGGACCCCGCCAACGCCTTCGAGGCGGGTCAAGAAATCTCGCCGGACCGGAACCCCCACAGCAGATGGGCGACGCAGAAAAGGGGGGTCGTCTTCGCCAACATTGGCGCGTAAGCTGCCCGCGTGAGGCCGCGCGTAAGCGCTCTCGTCTCCAATGCAGCGCGCCCCGCAGGCGGCCTGCGTAAGCCGCCGCGTATACGGGTCGCCGTGCCATCACGCGTAAGGCCCGTGCTTGAGCCTCGCTCAGGTCAAGACATCTCGCCTGGCCGGGCCCCCACAGCAGATGACGCGTCTGCCTGCTGCTGTCGGGGACAGCCACGTGGTCACCTCCACCCGCCGAGCGCTGCGGCGCCCCTCGCCCACCTCCGCCACGGAGCACGCCCTGTCGCGGTGCGGACGCCTCGTCCTGTCTGCGGTCTGGCGGCTTGGGCTTCTGTTGGACAGCTCCTGGAGGGCCTCCTGGCGGCTCCTCGGGGCCCTCTCCGGGCAGGATGAGCATGAATCCGTTCCAGAGCGTTCCGGAACGCCCTCAGAGCGTTCCGGGACGCTCTGAGAAGGCCGCAGCGCCCGATGCTTCTTCCAGAGCCGCCGGATCTCAGAGACTCGATGTATCCTCGCCCGATTGTATCCTCGTCCTGGCCTCGTCTTACCTCTGAGGACATCTTGGGGCGATCTGCGGCCTTCTCGAATGGGCGCCGACCTCGCCCGAGCGGGGCCTGGGGCATCCCCGCTGACGGTGGAGGGGGAAGGAGACGCTGAAGGGGAGGGCAGGAGGGTGCCCAGAGGCCACTGCCGCCGACGGACGACGCCGCGGGTCGCCGCGCGCGGCCGCCGACGCGCGCGCACCGCCGCCGCCGCCGATGTCGAACGCCGCCCGCCGCCCGCCGCTGCCGCCGCCGCCGCCGATGTCGAACGCCGCCCGCCGCCCGCCGCTGCCGCCGCCGCCGTGGAGCGCCGCGGAGTGCGGCCGGTGCCGCGGCCGATCGCCGGCCCCTGCTCCCGGCCGCCGACGCCGAGCGCCGCCGACGGCGCCGCCAGGGCCACGGCGCGCGGCGCCCGGGGGCGCCCGCCGCCGCCCCCTGCGGGGCCGCGGCGCGCGAGGCGGCCGCGGGCGCGCAGGGCGCGGCGCAGGCGCCGCACCACCAGAAGGCGCCCGCCGGCGACGCCGACGTCGACGCCGTCGACGTCAGCGCCGCAGTCGCCGCCGGCGTCGCCGAACGCGGCCGCCGCCGACGCCGAGGACGACGCCGACGCCGTCGCCCCTGCGGCGCCGCCGTCGACGCCAGTGTCGTGGCCGTTGAATTTCAGGTGCGAAGGACAGTTTTTGATGATCCCCCCCCCTCCGGTGCACATTTTGTTTTTCAATTGAAGCGCCCTTCCTGGGCTCTCGCACGCTGTTTCCTTTTAGGGGAAGGCTTTCGCCTCAGACTGGGTTGCTGGTCTCCTAACACCACTATCCACAGCAACAATAGTAACTACACTTCTACGAACAAACACAAGAACCAGCAACAGCAACAACAACCACAACAAGAGCAGTAACAACAACGGCTCCCGGATATAACATCACAAGTTATTCAACATCGCGCTTCTCGACATTTTTTGTTGCAGAAATCGTGCCCTCCCGAGGGATCCCATGCAACTTCTTCACACGCCGCGGCCCGGACACTCAGGAATCTCGATCTCGCTCTGGGCTTCCTGGCGATTTCCTTGGGAATCGCGCCATCGCTCGAGACCTCGCGGTGCACGCAGGGCCGACGCTTCCTCGACCAAGCCCGCTCGACCTGAACGCCTCGGCCTGCCCGCTCGGCCCGGCCGGGAGAGTCCGCCCGCCCGCGCGGTGCTGCCGCTGGCTTCCCTGCTCCCGCCCTCCTCCTGTTGAGCAGACCTCTCTCTCGTGATCCCTCCCCTTTGCCCTCTGCCTCGGCCCTTCCCTCCATCCTCTCGGAGGTGGATCGACCTCCTACCCTGACGCGTCGATTCAGGAATTGGCCGTTTTCGGTTTGCGAGGGGGCGTCGCGGGTCCAGGTCCGTCGGTTTCGGTCCCAGGCCGTTTTCACTAAGGGGAGGTTCACTAAAGGGAGGTTTGTCCACCGCCGATCCTCCCTCTCTTCCCCTGTGCATGGGGTTGCGCCATCTGCACGTGGCAGGCAAGGAGATGGTCACCCCAAGGGGGGTGCAACCGAGAGCGAAGAGGGCGGATATCGAGGGTTTGGGACATACTTGTTGAGTGGCACGCGTGCAGATAAGAGGGAACAGTCTTAGGATGAGTGTTGATGTTGTTCGCGCCGTCGCCGTGGTCATCGTCGGCGTCGCCGTGGGCGTGGTGGCTGTCGTCGTCGTCGTCGGTGTCGCACCGGGACGGCTGCGGCTGCGGCGGTGGCGGCGTCGTTGCTGTCGTCGTCGTCGCGGCAGTCGCCGTCGCCTCTCTCTTTCTCTCTCTATCCCTCTCTTTCTCTGTTGTTTTTGTCTATCCCTCTCCCTTTTTTTTTTCTCTCTCTCTCTCTCTCACTCTCCCTCTCCCTTTCTATATCCCTCTCTCACTCCCTCGCTCTCTCTGTCTCTCTCTCTCTCTCCATCTCTGGAAATGTATTTATATATATATATATATATAAATCTCTCTCTCTCCCTCTCTCGCTCTTTCTCTCTCTCTCTCTCTTTCTTTATTTCCCTCTCTCTCTCTCTTTCTCTCAAGAAGCTTGCGCCATTCCGCCGACGCCCAGAAGAGGGATGAAGTCAACGGGTGAGGCCTTTTGGGTGCCTCTTGCGGACCTCTTGGAAGCCTCTTCGGGCATCTGGGGCGTCTCTTGGGCGCCTGGAGCGAGGTTTGGGGCCTCCTGAGCCGTCTCGGACTCTGTCAATACGAAACGTGCGAGAATGCTTAAAGAACACGCTTAGAGACCGCGCCGTCATCGCAGCAGCAGGAGCAGCAGCAGGGGCCTCTCCATGAACGGGCGGCGGCCCCAGCAGCTTCTTCTGCAGCTGCGTCTGCTGCCGCTGGAGCTTCCCCACTGGCTGCTAAGGCACGTCTGCGGCGACGCCATCTCAGGAAAGGAAAACAATACACAGACACGAGTAATCGTCGAACGCCCGCAAAATATGGGTACATATGGGAAGTGGGGGGGAAGCCAAAGACCAGAAACTATGGAAGCACATGGGGGATTCTTGGATCTGTGTGTATTTATTTGTGTGTGTCCTCGGGCCATTTGACCATCGCCCGACTCGACTGTGCGCCTCCTCTTGGCCGCCATCTTCGCCGCCAGCTGCGCGCGCTCCGCCTTTTGAGCGTGCCCATCTTGAACTGGTCGACCTTCGCAGTGAGCTCGGCTTTGTCTTCCGTGGACCGTGGACATGCCGTCTTCATCCGCGATCTCGAAGGAGTCTCCCAGGTCCAGGTCGAGGGCCGACGTGAAGCGATGCTCATCCAGCAAGTCCTCTATAGAGAGCTTCGGGCAAGCCTGCGCGCCGTCATGAGCACCACCCTGACCCGCGGACGGAAGCTCATCATGCAGTGGTCGCAACAGATACCTTTGTTTGGATTCTGCTTCGACACGTTCGGCGCGAAGCTGTAGAGTACGAGTACGTTGTGCATCCAGCTGGGCCCCCAGCTGCACGTAAGTACTCCAGATTTCGTAATAAAGGGAGGGGGGTCTCATTTCGGGGCGGGGTCTCTTCCAGGCCATCCTGGAGGGCCTGGGGGGGTCTGGGGACGATGTTTTGGAGGGTTCTCCCACGGGGGAGGTCTGAAATGACTTGTCTTGGAGGGTCCAGACCCCCTCCCTTTTATTACGGAATCTGGAGTACTTGTTGCACGCTGCCTCGAACCTCTTCTCCACGACACGAAACCTCTGGTGAGTTCGACCGAGCCGCCGTCGCAGAGGCCCGAGCTGGTGCATAGGAGACCAGGAGCTCGAGCTCCGTGTATGTCGCGGAGCTTCTCACGCAGGCACGCCAGCAGCACTTGCCCCTCGGGCGAGAGGGGCGGTTGACCAGTGTCTCTTTTTTTGCCACCAGCATGTGCGCCATGAGATCCTCCTGTGCCTCTGCCTTTACTGTCACCAGCTGGCCCCTCGAACAGGAAGAGCGGGTTGCCAGGAGACCAGGTCGAGGAAGGAAGCGCGGAGTCGGCCTTGAACGCTCCGCAGTGCTTGCAGAAGTAGACGCGGTCCTCGTTTTTGCCGTACCCGCACCGACAAGGTGACCATCGCTGTGCTGTCGAGCCTGCCACAGAGCCGTCAGCAGGGGCATCACGAGCACGACTCTGGATGCCAGGAACACGAGGGGGCCACGCCTTGGGGTCACGCCTCTGGGGCGGCCGCACGGCTTCGAGGTAGCAGTTCCCTCCTCCAATCTGCGAGTGCTGCGGAGGCCGTCCCCAATGCCATGGCGCCCATGAGACCCCACCGTTCCCACCATCGCCTTTGCCGACCATGACTCCTTGCGAGTCGAGGTCAACAACTGCCCCAGCAGGAGTTCACCGTGAACGATTCCCGGACAGGGGTGGGGACGTGAAAGTGTGGGGCGGGGAGATCCCTCAATCTGACGCCAGAATGACCTTTAACTGCAGCGTGCCCTTCTGAAGAGATGCTGTTGCAAGCGCAGGCGCAACGCCTGAGCCAGTACGGCTGTGGAGGAGAAGGAGGAATATGATGATGATGATGATGATGAGGAGGAGGAGGAGGAGGAGGAGGAGGAGGAGGAGGAGAAGGAGGAGGAGGAGGACGAGGAGGAGGAGACGGAACAGGACCAGGACCAGGACCAGGAACAGGAACAGGAACAGCAGGAGGAGTCAGGAGGAGGAGAAGGAGGAGGAGGAGGAGGAGGCCGAGGCAGAGCACTACGGCCGTGCCGCCGGTCCCCCGCTGCCGCGCCCTGCCGTGCCGCCGCCCCCCCCCTCCTCCTCCCTCCTCCTCCTCCTCCTCCTCCCTCCTCCTCCTCCTCCTCCTCCTCCTCCTCCTTCCCCTCCTCCTCCTGCCTCCTCTCCTCCTCCTCCCTCCGCCTCCTCCTCCTCCTCCTCCTCCTCCTCCTCCTCCTCCTCCCCTTCCGCGGCTCCCTCCGCGGCGGCGCCGGCGAGCCCCCGCGGGCGGCCGCCCCCTCGGGCCCCCGGCGGGCGGCTGCGGTGCCCGGCCGCCCCAGGCCATCAACCGGCAGGTCACGCGCGTCGCGGAGGGCGGGGACCTCGGCAGGCCGCAGCCGCCGGGGGGGGCAGCGCGGCAGGGCGCGCTCCGATGCCGCCGATGCGGTGCGGCTGCGGTTCCGAGGGCAGCCGGTGCCGATTGGACTCGACCTGGGGCTCCGATGCGGGCTCCGATGTCTCACTGGAGGCCCACGTACTAGCCTGCCGGTGTCTGCCGATTCGACTTTCCCCGACTCGGCTGCCGATATCCGTGGATCCGATTCCGGTCGATCGCCGATCCGACTCGTCGATTCGATTCTGGGCCCTCCTGGCACGGCACGAGCACGGGCACCTGCAGATCGAGGGGAGGAGCACGGGGACCGTCAGGGGGGGGCGGGGGGAAGAAACGGTGTGCCGATGCCGCTGCCGCCGCCGATCTTGGCCTTGCCACGCTCTCGCCGTCCGATCTTGGCCCTGCCTCGCTCTCGCCGTTAATTTGGTGAGCCTCCATGCATGGGAGGCCCTCGTCGCCACCACGGCCGGGCTCGCCTGGAGTACCTGGCCAAGACGCACCCCGGGAGAGGTCGCGGGAGTAGGGGTATGTCAGCCACGCGCAGGGGGGGGGTAGTAGGGTGGTGGTGGTGGAAGGCTTCGTAGAAGCACCCCTGCTTCTCAGATCTTAGAAGGCGCTGGCCTTTTCAAGAGCTGCGAGGCCGCCGCCTTCTGAGAAGCAGCCTCCCAAGAAGCCTCCCCCCCTCCCCCCAAGCCCTCTCTGCGCGCCGCCTGGTATGGGGACCTTGTGGTTTCCCCGACGACCGTGACCAGGGCGTCGCAGAAATCTTGTCGTTGCCGATCGTGGTCAGGGTCTATGTCGGCCGTCGCAGGCCTCGAGGATGATGCACGACTTGACGCCGACCGAGGTCGACGCGGACCAAGATCGACACGACGCTTCCGCGTACAGCTCTGGTTGTGGTCCCAGGTTTCTTCCCCTCCATCAGAGGGTCCGCGCGGGTGTCCTGGATCTGCGCCGCATCCCCTCGGCGGTGCCTCTCTGGCGCCGCCCCTGGCGCGCTCCGCGCGCCGGGGAGTTTTGGGCTCCAGCGCTGCTGCAGGGAGCCCCGGCGGAGCTCCGGAGGCCGCTGCGTACGCTGCCGTCTCTCCGCCTCGCTTGCGTCGGGAGAGGCACGGAGGCACCGCGGGCGATGCTCGTGCCGGGTCGGCGTCCCGGAGGCCGCTCTCGGGCCTGCCTGGAGGGGGGGGGCGCCCTGCCCCGGGGGGGCTCCGCGGGCCACGCCGGAAGAGAGCTGGTGCTGGCCCCGGGGCTGCACGGGGCGGCGGATCCCGCTGGCCCCCGGCTGCGAGTGTTCCAGGGAGCCTTGCCGTGCGAGGGCCCCCGCGCGGGTCCGCCTCCTGCCCTCCGTTCCTGCCCCCACGCCCTCCTCAAGCCTGGGCCCTGGCCCTCGCGCCTCGTTCTTCTCCTGCTGTCTGGTGAGTCGTGCCAAGGGAGCGCACCCGATGTAGCTTGCGCAGCACAGAAGGGCGCCCCCGCCGAGCGCCCAGCTGCGCCCGGATGCACCCCATCTCAGAGCCTTTTGGCGCCGGCGGTGAGCCGCGCCGCACTGTCAGAAGGAGCACGAGGAGTACGCGAAGGAGTGGGCGAGGAGGAAGGGGAAAGGCGACTTCGCTGCGCTCGCGCCACATCTGGCGTCCTATCCGCTCCCACTCATTCCTTGTCGTTGTCGTTCCGTTCAGCCGATGTATGTCGTCCACGAGGGCCTCAATGCCCAAATGGCAGCCGCAGGATTTGACCCATCGTTTGCTGCGCAATCGGAGTGGGAGGCTTTTCAGGATGCGGATTATCAGGATGCGGATTTTCAGGATGCGGAGGAGGAGGAGCAGGAGCACGGGCAGGGTTAGGAGAAGGCGGAGGAGGCGGAAGAAGGGGGGCGGCAACGATAACGAGCGAATCGGATCCGGAAGAGTGGCCTGTCTGAACGAACGTATTTTGAACGAAGGTGAACGTAATTTGAACGAAGAGGCGCGCGAGAGGTGGGATCATCGCTGGACACTGCCAGGGGAGAGAGGAGAGTAGCAGCCATGTTGGGTGATTAACTGGGGGGGCTGAGCACGAGAAGGATGAGGGGGGAGAGGGCGAGGATGAGAAGGCTGAAGAGGAAGAGGAGGGGTGTGAGGAGGGCGAGGAGGGGAAGGATGAGGAGGAGGACGACGAAAGATAATGAGAGGGGGGAGGGAAGACGAGGACGAGTAGCTCAGTAGGCAAGATCCGGGCGAGTACCCCCCCTTTCCCCCCCGCCCCCCCTCCCCGTTCCATCTGCCCCGCCCCTCCTCTCGCCATTCATGCTGCCATCTCCCTCCCCTCTCCTCCTCTCCTCCGCTTCCCTCACCCCCCATCCTCCCTCCTCCACTTATCCTCCCCACTCCCCTCCTCCACTTCCCCCCTCCTCCTCTCCTCTTCTCCTCCCCCGCCCCCCTCTCCCCCCGCCCCCCTCTGGAGGGGGTCCCGCCTCCCCTGGCCGCACCCAGCCCCCGCGGGGCCGCGGGGGGAGGGGAGCGGGAAATGCTCCTCCGCAGGCTGCTCGCCACCGTCCACGAGAGCCTGCCCGAGATGAACGGCACGCCACCAGGGGGGTGGGAGGATGAGGAGGAGAAGGAAGAGGTGGAGGAGGAGGAGGACGAGGAGGCGGAAAGAAGGAGGAAAAGGAGGAAAAGGAAGAGGAGGAGGAAAAAGAGGAGGAAAAGGAGAAGGAAAAGGAGGAGGAAAAGGAGGAGGAGGAGGAGGAGGAGGAGGAGGAGACGGAAAAGGACGAGGACAGGGAGGGACCTCCCGAGGACACCGCACGCCCCTTGGCGCATTCAGGCAGGCGCCGCACACCTAGGCGAGGTGCGCTGACTGGGCGGCGAGGTCGACCCCGTGCGACAGGGGGCGGGGACCCCCCGGCGGTCACTGCCAGACGAGGTGGTGCGCCTCCTCCTCCTCCTCCTCCTCCTCCACCTCCTCCTCCCCCCTCCCCTCCCTCCCTCCCTCCCTCCCCTTCCCTCCCACCTCCCTCCCCCCCCTTCCTCCCTCCGCCTTCCTCCCTCCTCCTCCTCCTCCTGCCTCCCTCCTCTTCCTCCCTCCCTCCTCTGTCCCCTCGCCGCATTCTTGTGCCACTTCCTGGTGCATTCGGCGCTGCGGCGGCTGTGGGGCGTCGTCGAGGCCCAGGCAGGACGGGCATGGCGGGTCGGCCCCCGTCTCGGCCTCGCGCGCTGGTGCGAGCGCCGGAACTCTATTGGACCTGGTCCCGCCTCGGCGGTTCCAGATGGCACAACGGTCCTCGCCTCCTGTGTCTCCTCCTCCGTCCTTGTTTCTCTCGCAACCGCGGACTCGTCACCCAAGCACCCCCGCGCCCGCAATGCGCCCCACGGGGCGCGACGGCTGCACGGAGACGGTCCCGTTCCTGTGGGAGTGAGGAGCAGGGGGACCACCCGCACTCATATTCCACTTGAGGCTTTCGAGGGAAGGGATAATTTGGTAGAGAGCGGCGGGACCACTCAGTAGGGAAAGATGTACAGACCATAGACAGTAGACCTTGCAAGTAAAGTTGTACTGGAACGTGGTAGACGGTGTAATTACGTATGTCGCATACGGAGTTGTGCATGGTGTCGATGATGATGCCTACAGCGGTGGTGTCATAGGCGTGGTATCTGATGTAACAATGTACGCCTGTACCTTTTGTCCGTCACGCTGTGGTTGTATTTAACCGGGTCCGGCTACAGGCAGGCTTGTTCCGCCTTGTTAGTTATGGCGCCACACGGTTGGGTAGTTCAGCCAGTGGTCCTCGTAGCCCAGGCTCTCGTAGCTCATGTTGTGGCCCGCTTAGTTCTGCCTGTTATTTCCTGCGGGTGAATTCGGCGGGGGCAATGTCTACCGAGCCGTCGGCCCAGCGGACGTGCAACGTCTGGATTCTCAATTCCAACACCGTGCGCTCGTAGTGCTCTCGGCCGTATGTGCCCTCCGCCGTGTCTCTGGTAACGATCAACTTTTTGGCCGTCCAGTTGTTCCATGAGCCTTGGTATTCGTGGCGCGGCCCTCGTAGGACAGCGGCTGGCCCTGGCAGCTCAGCCCGTGCTCCCCGTGGCCCTGCATGTGGCTCTCGTGGCTCAGCGCGTGGGGGCCGCAGCTCAGCTGGTGGCCCTGGCAGGTCCGCTTCTGGCCCAGAACGCAGATCTGGCGCATCCTGTAGCACTGCTTGTAGTTCTCGTGCAGTTCTCGTAGCTTTATGTCGGGCGTGTCCCCCTACAGGGAGATTTTCGACGAAAAATAAGAAATGCCCCAACCATATTCCCAAAAGGTCAAAACATATGCAAAAATAGTCCCCAGACTATTTTTGGATTAGTTCTTGATTCTGTTTGGTGTGTTTTTTTACTGTTCGTCGAAAATCCCCCTGCAGGGGGACAGGCCCGACGTAAACGTAGCTCCGCTGGTGGCCCTCGTGGAAGAGTTTGCGGCCTTCGCAGTTCTGGAGGTGGCTCTCGTAGCTGTGCCCGTGGTCCTCGTAGTCCTGCCAGCGCTACTCGAAGGATTGGCAGTCTTGCTGCTGGCCCTCCTTGTGGATGCAGTCGTATTCCCGCTTGTGGCTCTGGAAGCTGAGGTTGTGTCCCTCCTAGCGTCGCCGGCAGGCCACGTGGCTCCGACGGTGACTCTCCCGAAGCTTTGCTCGTGACCTTTGCAGCCGAGGTGGTGGCTCGGGTAGATTGCCCGGTGGTCCTCTGAGCCTTGCCTGCATCTCTCGTACCTCAGCTGATGGGTCTCGTAGGTTTGCCTTTGGCTCTCGGCGCTCGTGTTGCTTTCGTAGTTCGGCTGAGTGTTCTCGAAGCTCTTCTGGGGGTTCTCGTAGTTGTGCTGGTCGGCGGAGCTCCGCTGGCCCTCGCTGCGGAGCTTGGGTGCCCTCCTCGTGCTCGCACACCTGGCCCAGGAACTAGTCGAGGAACGCGTCCACGTGCACGTCCTTCTGGGCCTCGGAGTCCACGAGGTCAGAGTCGGAGTCCTCGGCCGCCAAGTCGTGGCGTTTCACGTTCTGGGTGCCAGCGCCATTTAGGAGATCGTGCTGGTCACGCGTGGCCCTCGTAGTGCGTGCGATGGTCCCCGTGGCTCTGCTCGTGGCCCTCGTAAATCAGCTGGTGGTTCTCGGGGCTCAGCTGGAAGTCCTCGTAGTCCTCGTAGCTCAGCCTGTGACTCGTAGCTCTGCTGGTGGCTTCCATAGCTCAGCAAGTGGGCCTTGACGCTCTTCTGGTGGCTCTCGTAGCTGTTCAGGTGTTGGTCCTCGCAGCTCAGGTGTTGGTCCTCGAGGTCTTCTGGTGGTCCTGGTAGCTTAGCCTGTGGCTGTAGTAGATATTGCTTGGTGCCTTCGACTTGCTTTCGAAGCTCAGGTTGTGGCCCTCGTAGCTCTGCAGACGGTCCTTCTCCATAGGAGGGGTTGTCGTAGCCATTGGATTTCCATGTGGAGTTGCACTTTTCAGTGGAGCGGAATATCGGGACAAATCGGAACCAGAGATTCTGGGAGAGTTCCAGAGAAAAATAGAACGCCGATTTGTGGAGCGTAGCGCGCGCATTCGCAGAAGTTCCCAAAGAGTGTTCGAGGGCTTGAGGAGCCCAAGTAACACATGGGCGCTCAATTAAACTGTTGAGGGAGGGCACGAGCATTGTGAGCGGGTGCGCGGCTTGCACGGGGGGCACAGTAGGTTTGCGTTTCAGGGACTTGGGCGCTGGCCACTGCGCTGATGGGGGGCCCGAGAATGCGTCGCACATATTACGCCTGTGGCGCCATGGAGGCCGCATTTGCGGTTGCAGTTGGGCGGGCGCCCCGCCGCGCGCGCCGCGGCGACAGCTCTCTTGGGCGCCCGCCCGCCGCCGTGGACGTAGTGGACCCAGCTAGTCTCTCGGTCGGCGCGCGGCGGGTCGGCAGCCACGACGCTGGCGGCCTGAAAATGCTTCGAAAGTGTTTCTCCCCGAGCCCGGGGCTATTGTACGTTTTCGGTGGCACGCGCAGCTCGGGGAAAAATCGCCTTGTCCGTCGGCGGCCAGTTGGCCGTCGTCGCGCAGAAGTACCGGCGGATGGCGCGGTCCACGCTCAGCGCAGAGAGCGTGTCCATGAGCGTGGACTCGTCGAGGGGCAGGAGGAAGGACCTCGCGGTCGGGACCATCGCGGCCCGCGATGTCCACGGCCCCCACCCTGGGCGCGCGAGGACCTGCTGGGCGCCGCCGCAGCGCGATTTCAGAGGATCTCGGAACCAGAAATCCGGGCGCGCCAAATTTCGCGGGCCGAAAAACTCTCAGAGAGTTTCGGCCAGCTCCGAGGTTTTGGGTTTATGGGAATGTTTCACGCGGGGTGGCTAGTTCAGAGATTTTCAGAGATTCTCAGAGAAGTTCGGACGCGAGAATTTGGCGCGCCCCGGTTTCTGGTTCTGTGAATCTCTGAAAAGCGGTTCCTTAGGTTTTACCGGGTCTCCAGGCGTCCTACTGTCAGCCAGAGACGAGGGACTGGCTGGCGCCGCGCCCGATGCTTCCGGAGTTGCGAACTCGGTTTTCGATTCCCTGGGGCCCGCGGGCCCCTGGGCCAATTGCGAGGTTGCCGAGGCCCCCAGGCGGTTGCGCGCGATTGTCTCGGAAACCGGAGTTGGGCATCCATGGTGGACGCCCGCGCGCATGCGCTAGGTGTCCGCGAGAATGTTCGGTGGCGGATCTTGCATGGCGCGGGGATTGTCCAAAGACTTTCCGGGGTGTTCTCTACGGTTATTTCGGCGCGCTTCGGGAACCTTGGGGCGGCGCGGGGAAGTCGCCTGGCCGCGCGCGTGACTTTTTTTTCCAATGCCGTCTTGGGCATTATCGCGGTGTTGCTTGGCCGAAGAGGTCACTGAGTAACGCGATGTTTGACATTTTCGTGTTTTTTCGTTGCGTTGGTTGCGTGATTGTTTTGGCGGTCCGCCTCCTTGGGGCCCCCTTTGGGCCTCAAGTTTGTTTTGATGACGTCGGGCCTTCTAGAGTGAAAGGCGCTTGGCGCTGAATTCCCTCGGTCGTGCGCGTGGCCAAATACGCGTCGTGGCTTCATCCGCGCCAGGGCGCTTTTCTTCCTTCGCGAAGCCGATGGCGCCCAAGGCGTGGCAGGCCCGTTCGGCGGCGCCCCCGGTGATTTGAAAAACCGAACATGATTTTTATCCCGGTCAATTTTTGCCCCGATCCCGGCTTCATCTTAACTTTCCCTTCGGTGCCCCCTCGTAGCACAGGGTGGGATTGGCTTCGGGGGACCCCGCAGAGTCGTCGGTACTCTCCCTTCCAGATGTCGACCTTCCGATCGGCGTTTTTCTCCTGGTCGCGCTCCTCGTACTCCACGTCGTTATCCTCGTCCTTCATCGCACTCGTCGTCCTTACGGTCGCGCTCCTCTGACATCAGCGGCTCCGTCTGGAGACCCGTCCGCACATCCGAAGGAAGTTGGACCAGACGGAACCAGTCGCGACTTTCCCCGCTTGAGATGCAGACGCCCCGCAGGCCGTTTTAGCCCTGGTGGTTGGTTGGTTCCCGTCGTGGGCGGCGTCGCCGTATTGGTCCCCGTATTTGTCGCGGTGCTCTCGAATCTCTGCGTCTTGCCGTCATAGCGCTCAGCCAGCGGTTTTCGAAGCACCTCTGGTGGCCCTCGCAGCACAGCTGGTGGTTCTCGAAACGCTTCTGGTGGCCCTCGCAGCTCAGAGGGCGGTTCTCGGAGCTCTGGTTCTTGCCCCCGTAGCTCTGCTGGTGGCCCTCGTCGCGTAGCAGGATGGCCTAGTAGCTCTCTTCGTGGGTCTCGTAGGTCTGCTCGTGGCCCCCGTAGCTCTGGTTGCAAGGTGAGGAGCCCGTATGCGGCGTATGTGTCGTAGCCGTTGTATTCGCCGTGCCCGTTGTATGCGTCTTAGTCGTACTAGGCGTACGCGGCGTAGCCGTGGTCCACCGGTATGTCCACGAGGATGTACTTGTCAAACCACCCGGGCTGCTCGCAGGTGTCGTGCCTGGTGTCGTACCCTGTGTTGGCGTACGGTGTGTCGTAGTTGGCGTCGTGCTTTGTGTCGTACTTGCTGTCGTACCTGCTGGACGCCGTCGCGAGGGCGGCCGTGGCAGGGCAATGAGAATCATGTCATCGGAACAAGGTTGTGTCCCATGTCGGACGTTGTAGCCCGCTTCTCTTCGGGCCGTTTCTGTTCGCGCCCGTGCTCGCCTATGCGTGTATGGTCTCGGCGTACTTGCCGGGAAGTCTTCGCCAAGGCGGGCCAGTCTCGTGTACCCTCAGCTCATGTTGTGGATGCCCGCCTTGCAATTCAACCCCATGGTGGATGATCATCCTCCCCCGGGCAGGGGCGGAGAAGAACGCCGTCGCGGAGCGCTGCGCCGGTAGCGCGCTGCTGCGGAGGCGCGGCAATGCGGGCACGCACGACGTCGCCCTGGCGACGCGGCGGGAGCTCTGCGCCGCCGAGGCCAGTTCGGTGCCCGTGCCTGGCTAGGACAAGGCCGCGCGGGCAGGGCAGGGCGACCATGCGCCCCGGGTGCTCACCTGCTGGGGGATGATGGAATGCGGCAACAGTCGCGCGCAGCGATGTTTTTTCGTTAGCGGGTTCGAGCCTCACGCCGATGGATGAATGCATGTGCTCATCTGGGGGATGATGCTGTACTCGCGGTGGATCGCCTTCTCGTGGCACGCGCGCCACCGACCGCGGCTGGCGCGCGGAGGCCGCCCACACCCCCTCGGGGCGCGCGCGCGGCCAGGCGCGGCGCCCAGGGGCGAGTGGTGGGGATGGGGTTCCCGCTAACGGCCTTCCTCCGTCTCCTCCTCCTCCTCCTCCTCCTCCTCCTTCCCTCTCCTCCTTTTCCTCCTGCTCCTCCTCTTCTTCATCCTCCTCCTCCTCTTACTTCTCCTCCCCCCTCCTTTCCTCCCCCTCCTCCTCCCCTCACCCTCCTCCCCTCCTCCTCCTCCTCCTCCTCCTCCTCCTCCTCCTCCTCCCCCTCCTCCTCCCCTCCTCCCTCCTCTCCTCCTCCTCCTCCTCCTCCTCCCTCCTCCTCCTCCTCCCTCCCCTCCTCCTCCTCCTCCTCCTCCTCCTCCCCTCCACCTCCTCCCCTCCTCCTCCTCCTCCTCCCCTCCTCCTCCCCCTCCTCTCCTCCCCCTCCCCCATCCTCCCCGCGCCGCTCCTCTCGCCCGCCGGCGCGGAGGCACGCCCGCTACGGCGGCGGGCGGGCGCCTCCATATGCGCCGCTGGAGGGCGGCGGACTCGGCGTCCCGCGCGGTGGTCGCACCTCGTCGGCCTCCAGCGCGGTGCGTGTGCGTGTGCGCGTGCGTGTGTGTGCGTGATCGAAAGATCACCACCAGCACCAACATCCAGGATCAACATCCAGGATCATCTTCCCACGGTGGAGGCAATCCCCTGTGTTGGTACTGGTGCAAACCTCCAGGCCGCCCGATTCAGGCCGCCCGAGCGCAAACGGGGCCGCACATGGGGTCGGGGGGCATCGCCGATGGATCCTCGATGCTGATGCCCAGTGTTCCCCGTCTCCTCCCGCCTGAGAGTGCTCTGGACGACCAGCGGAGGTTGGCGTCGGCTGCGGTCGGCAGCAGCGGCAATCAAGGCTCGAACCACAGTGTGTTGGCGATTTCGTGGCTCGGTTTCCTTTTGAGTTTCTGTTGCAGCACAGGGAGAACGACGACAGCACGATCGAAAACGAAAACAGCACGAATACGGAAAACACTGTTTAGCTCGAGCCCTTGCGGCAATTGTCGGTGGCGATCGCGGCAGCGACGGCGGCGGCAGCGACGACGGTCGGCGGCGGCAGAAGCGGCGGTAATGGCGACCGCTAGGGCGGCACTGGCGGCCGCGGCGGCGGCGGGCGCTGTGTCGGCGGCGGGCGCACGAGGCATCAACCTCGCGACCTCTCTCCACCGCGTGGCGAAGCTCGCAGCGGCTGGCGGCCCGGGAGGCATCGCCTCCGCGAAGGACTGCGTCTTGCCGCCATCGCCCCAAAGGTCGCCATTCGTCGTTGTCGCCCTCGTCGTGCTCCTCGTCCTCGTCGCGGCGGCGGCGGCGACGAGGAGGACGACGAGGATGGCGAGCGGAGGCGGCGGCGGCGACGACAGACGACAGGGACGACGAGGACGACGGCGACGACGACGAGGACGGCAGGAGCAGCGACGACGAAGCGTCGAATACGAGACGTCGACGACGAGGCAGACAACGGCATCCAGAGATGCCAACACCGACGGCGCCGACATCGACAAGCACGTCGACGACGATGGCGACGACGGCAACGAGCCCACGATGGCGACGTTGACGGCGGCCCCCCAACGGACGCAAGCCTGCTTGCGTCGTGGCCGCAGGAGCTCCCCGAGCTCCGGGAGCTGGTGGACCGCGTGGAGCAGCACGTGCTCAACCACAGGCGTTTGTTTTTGGCATATTTCTTGACCCTCGGGCCCCCCTTTCCCTTTTTCGCAGCAGCTGGACGCACATCGCGCCCCCCCCCAACAAGAGGGGTTGCGTTGCGTCTGACCAGCTCTTCGGGCGTTTTCTTTGTGCCAGTGCTTCGTTGCTGATGCTGCCGTTTTTTTCATAACCAAGCTGTTGTTAGGTCCTTATTTTGAAGAGACTGTCCCCGCGTTCCTCCTCTTTTCCTCTTCCCCCCTCCCTCCTCCCGTCACCCCCGTGGCCCCATAGGGAGCTCCATCGAGGGCCCCAGTGGCGGTGCCCACATGCGTCCCTGCCACCCATGTCCCAACACCCCTCGGACGCTTCGTGGCCCCATAGGAAGCTCCACCGATGGCCCCAGTGGCGGTGCCCACACGCGTCCCTGCCACCCGTTTAGGCACATCTCTCACACGCTTCGTGGCCCCATACGGCAGAGATTACGCGCAAGGCAAAAAAAAGACACGCAAGGCAAAAAAAAACGCACCACAGGCAAAAACAAATGTTTTTGCCTGTGGAGCGTCGCCGACGCGGAGGGGAGCAGGGGAGCAGGGGAGCACCCCCCCCGCCTCGCGCGCGCAGTCCGGCAGGGTCCGGGGGCCCGACGCGCAAGGCAAACAAAAAAACGCCACAGGCAAAAAAACAGGTCACGATTCCTTCTTTGGGCCCCAGGAGCGCCACAGGCAAAAACCCAGGTCACGATTCCTTCTTTGGGCTCCAGGAGCGCCACCGACGCGGAGGGGAGCAGGGGAGCAGGGGAGCACCTCCCCGCCTCGCGCGCGCTCTCCGGCAGGGTCCGGGGGCCCGACGCGCAAGGCAAAAAAAAACCGCCACAGGCAAAAAAACAGGTCACGATTCCTTCTTTGGGCCCCAGGAGCGCCACAGGCAAAAACCCAGGTCACGATTCCTTCTTTGGGCTCCAGGAGCGCCGCCGACGCGGAGGCGGGCAGGGGAGCAGGGGAGCACCTCCCCCGCCTCGCGCGCGCTCTCC